AGAGAGAGAGAGAGAGAGAGAGAGAGAGAGAGAGAGAGAGAGAGAGAGAGAGAACTGCTGTGAAGCAGCGAGAGAGAGAGAGAGAGAGAGAGAGAGAGAGAGAGAGAGAGAGAGAGAGAGAGAGAACTGCTGTGAAGCAGCGGGAGACTACTAATAGTAGTGGAACTACCCAGTCCTCCTCTAGCTAGTTTGCGGAACCAAGTCCTTTGACTGCCAATCTAGTAAGGAAAATTCAATATGGAAAATTTCAAAAAGCCACGAAAAACAACCAAGTATGTGATAATGAAGAGAATTATAAGAATCGGCCCAGGGGGTAAACCCTGCAATCAACAAAAATCACAAATCCCAAAAAGCATGTTGCTCCTTAAACCATGTAAAATTCTAGTGGTAAGTCAAGCGACTTTATATGTGACTCCTACGAGTCCTAACACCAGCTAAAATTCTACAGGCGCTCAAGTCAGGAAGGCCATAGATGGGAAAATGGTTTTTGGACCCCCCTCCTGACAAATATCCTGATTGTCTGGAGGGGGGGAGGGGGGAGGCGGGGGGAATAAACTGATTTTTCATGTTCATCGCAGACAACCATGAGTGGGGGTCCAAACTTATAACGGTTGTTGTTGAAGACAAAAATATGACATTTCATGATTGGGCAAGGTCCTGCATGAATCTAGATGCGCTTTATGCAGAGATGCAGAAAAGCAGACAAATCACGGTTTTGCACCTCTAAACAAAACACGTCCAGATTCAGGCTTTCAATCCAATCCACTTTGCTAGTGGGAGCCTCTCTTTCATGAGCTGCTTCCACCCTCCACTTCATTATTCATATGCGGACAGGAAAAACTATGCATGAGCTGCTTCCACCCTCCACTTCATTATTCATATGCGGACAGGAAAAACTATGCCGCAAAACTGTTTCTGGGGCCCCACAACCTGCAGCAGACGTCCAGGAAAACGATCTGATGGAATTTCTTTCGCAAACCTGGGAACCCACAGACCTAAGATTGCAGCTTTAAAAAAACGTTGGTTTTTTTTTTGGTTTTTTTTTTCGTGCCAAAGTCCAGGGTGTTGTAGAGGTCGCTTTCTGGACCCACGACAAGTACCTCCTATCTACAGTCAGCAACTAATTTAATTTATTTATGGGACGCAGACCATCCTATCTTGGAGGATCCCCCTCAGATAGCCCCCCCCCCAACTGCAGATTCCCCAAAGATTTCCTCCACCAAAGTCTATCCTTTTGTATTTTCAAATCGTCCATGGCCTGGAAAAGTCTCACGGGAGGATTCCTCCCTGCAAACTTGTGCCAACTCTAGATACCGACCGAGAGTGCAACAAAAAAAAAAAAAAAAAAAAAAAAACGAGTGCCAGGCAACGATTGGCTGAACTGTTTTTCCATCAGCATTTCTGTCCTCCGCGGTGGGGTCCCAGCTTTTCTATAATTTTTGTTTCCACGAAACTTCGCCCTCATTTCATTGGCAAACGTCTTTTGCATCCGCATTTCTGTGGGGTCCAGGCCTTATTCACACAAAAGCAGCAAGGGAAATTTTTCAAAGTGCCCCTCCGACTTCCATGTATTTGGGGTATGCCCCTCCGACGGCCGACTTACCCTGTCATGCCCCTGGGGCCTCTGACGTTTCCAGCAGGCCCCTGTCAGTGAGGGGTGCAACTTTCCAGCATGCCCCTGTGGCCGTTGGCTGCACTCGTGGGCGCTCCCCTGGTTCTGGGAGGGGAGCTACCGGGGCATACTGGAAATACTGGAAATTTGGAAACGGTACTGGTAGGGGCATATTGAACATATTTCAGGCCCAAACAACAACAGGGGTGTTTTGGAAACTTCAATCATTGTCAGAGGAGTGCTACAGGGTAAGTCTGACGTCAGAGGGGCATACCGCAAATAAACGGATGTCAGAGGGGCATTTCGAAAAATTTCCCAAGCAACAAAGCATTCCAAAGCATTCCTATTTATTTATTGCAACAAAGCATTCCTATTTATTTATTATTCATTCAGAAGGAGGAGAAGAGGACACTTAGGGAGGGACCCCACAGGACGGCGGCAAACGGTTTTGAAAGTCGGGAGGCAACTTCCCGGACCCCACAGACAAATATCCCCGTTGCGGAAGACGACCGGCATTCATTTCCACTCAGTCCGCAACCCCTTTTTTCCTACGTGGACCTAAAAACCCGTTCGAAATTTTCAAATCTCGATCCGTTTACCTACCTCCAGGGTGCGTACTCCGGCCCATGCGGACGGAAATCGGCAACCTGCAGAACGGACATGTAGCCGTCCTTCCTTTGGCCCAGCGGGCACAAGGCCGGAAATTTCAATTCGTGGTCGCCCCAACAGCGTTGAGATTTTGAATTTCCTTGTCCAGCCGCGGGGACGGTATGCAACAGCGATGTAGGCTGGCTGCATGCTCAAACCGACTTTTTTCTTCTGGTGCTATTCCCATGCAGAGTGTGAGGAAGGTCGGCCTCCATAGCCATGAATGGGTCGTTTGTAAGTGCTGCACACACGTCGTGTGGGGGGTTGGCTGCTTCGTCTCCCCAAGCCAAGCTCCGCGGGCTGTGAACGGCAGGCCAGGCGCTGTGTTACAAACGCGGCTTGGTAGAGTCGTTCACGTGTGTTGCAGCCAGCGAAGGTTAGCAACCTTCAAGAGGAAACACTGAGCGAGAAGCTGCTGGCTTTCATCCCCTCGACTTTTCTCGTCCGGTCATTGTTGAGAGTTGGCGATGGTGTGCACGTTGGCAGCGGATGGTGGGATGGTGGGTTTGGTTCGGCTGTTTTGAGCGGACGGGGAGGTCGTGGGTGGCAGGTCTGTCCCCCCTGGTTGATGTGTGTGACGGATCATCCCACGGTTGTTGTTAGAAACCGTGAAGGTGTGGCATGCAAGTCTGAGCCACTCGGTGAGCAGCAATGGTTTCCATGCGCATGTTGTTGTCGATGTTGTCCTCTTGCAGTCGTTGTTCAAGGTTCTCATGAGGGTCGCGGCTGCAAGGCGGGCGCTTTTGGCCACCCCTTGACCGTTGTCTTTGTTGTGCTTTTCGGTGTTGTCCTGCTCATGGTTGCAAGCATTGTGTGTTCACGTTTGCAGGGCTTGTGGCTTTGTATTTCCTGATGTGTCGGTGATGCGCACCATGTGGGTTTGTGACGCACATGCAGACACGGATTTATGGAATCAATGTGGATAGATGTAAAGGTGCGTAGATGCGTATATTGGTAGGCACAAAGAAAGATAGATAGATAGATAGATAGATAGATAGATAGATAGATAGATAGATAAATGGATGGGTGCATAGATAGATAGATAGATAGACAGCGAAGATAGATAGATATATAGATATATGGACTATGAATCCCCCGTGGCCGCGGTCGCCACGGTCATGACCACAGCGGCCACGGTCTTCGGTGGCCCGCTGTGGCTGAGGGTAGAGTAGGTTGGGGAAGGGGGTTGGCACGGGTTGCGGATTGGGGTTCCGGAACCCCGAACCCACCCCCTTGAACAAAAAAAAGTTAGAAAAAAATATTTTCGGGGGGTGTTTTTTTGTGTGTGAAAAAAAAAAAAAAAAGGAAAAATATATTGATTGATTGATAGATTGGTTGATAGATTGATTGGTTGATTGATTGATTGATTGATTGATTGGCTGATTTATTGATTGATAGATTGATTGATTGATTGCTATGTTGCCCTCCGTATGTCGTACGGGGGTTCTTTCGTACGGCCGTACGGACGGTCCTATAAAGTGACGAACCCCCCCCCCAAAAAAAACGTAATTTTTTTTTCGGTGGGTGTTTTTTTATGTGTGAAAAAAAAAAAAAAAAAAAGGAAAAATATATTGATTGATTGATAGATTGGTTGATAGATTGATTGGTTGATTGATTGATTGATTGATTGATTGGTTGATTTATTGATTGATTGATTGATTGATTGCTATGTTGCCCTCCGTATGTCGTACGGGGGTTCTTTCGTACGGCCGTACGGACGGTCCTATAAAGTGACCAACCCCCCCCCCCCAAAAAAAAATGTAATTTTTTTTTTTTTTAAATGGGGATGTAGAGATTTTCGTGCTCTAGACCCCCATATTTTTTACTTTATTTTTTTGCTAGTCTACCAGCTGGGCCGCCCAGGTCCCGGGTGGCCAGCCCATGCAAGGACTAGACACTAGAGAAGGTCCCAGCAAGAGAAAAAACAAAATCGAAAGAAATCCAAAAAAAAACTATGTTATGCAGAAAAATAAACTGAACAACTTTTGCCTCAGGGTCGCATCGAAATTCTTTACCAAATTTAAAACAAAAAATCAAATACGAAAATAGTTTATTTAGTTTTATTTTTTTTCTTTTTTTGTCCCGCCCGGGCAAGTAACCCTGGGCCACTTTGGTAGCCTAGTTTTTGTCTTTTTTATATTTAAAAAAAATAAAAATCATCGAAACGTGGAAAAAAAAACAAAATAAGAATTAAAAATTGATTGATTGATTGATTGATTGATTGATAAAAAACAAAAACAGGGAAGACAAGGACACGGTTAAGGTTTTCAGTTTTAAATGCGTTTCAGTCACGGTTTCGCGAATTTTGCTCCAAAGCGAGGACAATTGTGAATGTATCCAACCCAGCTTCAGGGTTGGGTGGGGATGTGTTGTGTTCGAAGGATGCCTGAAGTGGATTTGGAACTCGAAACGTGACTGCGCCCTAGTTACCCAAAAAAAAAACTATTTGTGTGTGTGTGTGTGTGTGTGTGTGTGTGTGTGTGTGTGTGTGTGTCTCAATGTGTGCACGCGTCAGAGAGAAAGAGAGAGAGTATGTGTGTGTGTGTGTGCGTGTGTGTGTGCGTGTGTGTGCGTGTGTGTGTGTGTGTGTGTGGGTGCCGGGGGGGGGAGGGGGCGACCCTCCCCCAACCAACCAATCAATCAAACAAACCAATCAATCAATCAATCATCAATCATTCAGTCAATCATCAATCCATCTATCCATCAATTAATCAATCAATAAATCAATAATCAATCAATCAATCAATCAATCAATCAATCAATCACTTAATCAATCTTTTTTTTTTTTTTTTCCGACCTGTGATCCCCCCCCACCCGCCAACCCCGAACAAACTTTTTTTTTTTTGTCGTTTTTTTTTCCACTTTGGGGGGTAGTCCCCTACATGCACACCCCACCCCACCCCTCAGATGCTGAGATGCCCAACCCCCCCCGGGGAAGGCCCTCGAAATGGGCCGTACGGCCCGTACAACCGCTTGGGGGGCCGTACGTACGGACGTATGGCCATACGTACTCCTCGTATCCGTACGGGGGACAACATAGATTGATTGATTGATTGATTGATTGATTGATTGGTTGATTGACTGATTGATTGGTTGATTGATTGATTGATTGATTGGTTGGTGGATTGATTGATTGATTGATTGATTGATTGATTGATTGATTGGTGGGGGGGGGGAAGTCTTTTTGTAGGATATTTGGCCAAAGATATGATGATTGGTTTAGACACACACACACACACACACGATCAGTTTTATGTCTGTCTGTTTTACTCTTGTTGTCTGTTCTCCGTCTGATTTTTTCTAAGTAATTTTGCTAACCAAACTGAGCACCCTTAAGTAGTGCCAAACAATCGGTGGTTCCTCTTTTGGAGTGCCTACTGCACTCTTAGGGGTGCTGCTCAGTTCGTGATGTCTGTGTTGCCTATGGGTGATGACGGATGCTCGTCGAAGTGACTCCCTGGCTCAGTGGGTGGTGGGAACCAACAGTCTGCGGGGTTCAATTGTGATGTGAGTAGGTTATGTGCTGCTTTGCTTCGTGTTGGATGTGTGGACTGCCTCGTCTGCACTCTGCCGCTGTCTTGTTGCCTGTCTCGCTTGCTTCGCATGTGGTTCTTTGCAGGTTGATGTGTTCGCTGTGTGGTGTGGCCGTGTTGTTGATGTTGCCTTTGCGCTTCGCTGCTCCGCTGCCTTGCCGCTCATCCGCTGGTCGTGCCTTCCATGTCCTTTGCTTGCGCGCCTTGTAGTTCACTTGCCTTGTAGGTGCTGCCTTGTGCTCCACTGCATGGTAACTGTACTACTCGACCGCTAGCATTGTTGTCCCATGTTGTGTGGTTGCCTTGCTTCACAGCGTGGCTGCCGCAGTGTTTGTCCTGCGCGTTGTGTCGTTCCTTGCAGTTATTTTTGGCGATGTGCAGCCATGTTGCCTCTATTGCGTTGCCTGGTGCTCCGTAGGGTTGCTGCCCGCTGCTATGTTCCGTTTGCGGGATAGTTTGCCTTCAACAAGGGTCAAAGGGTTCATGACCCAAACCATCCAATACGAAAACTCCGCAGATTGTCGAGGGTTCAGCCTCCTGATGAGTCGATGCAACTCCGACGAAACAGTCTGTCATCATCTGTGTTTGTTTATTTTTTTCGCTCTCCGTTTTTCCAAATTGGTATCGTTACTTCGTCTCTCTTTTTCACTTGTTGTTTTGTGTTGGTTGCCTGCCCACCCTCCTCCCCCATGTCCTCCACCCTTTGTGACTTGCAACCTCTTGTTGTCCAGTGCCTTGTTACCTCGCCGTCATTCACCTCACCGACTTTTGCCGTCATGGCCTTTGCATTGTGATATTCCATGGGCACCTTAGTCGGGCACACGAGGACACCTCACCTTCTAATGAGCCTTGTCAGGAGCAAGCACTAAAAAGCGTGTGAAGGGATGTGTCATCCCTCCTCTGTTGGTCACTATACCAACCTTGATGGTTATGCCATCGTTGCTCCCCGCTCCTCCTCTCTCCTCCATCTTCTCTTCTATTGACCTTTAGACTTGTCGGAGGTATTGATGGTATGTGGCATGGGACAGACCGACGAATGGGGGAACGGGCTCCACCATTAGGTGAGCGAATCAATCACGAGGTTCCCGTGTATCGGGTTGCTTTACACACACACACGCACACGCACACACACACATACACACACACACACACACACACACACACACACACACACACCAGCAATAAAAAATAATAAAAAAAAGAAGTTTTATTTTTTTGTGTTTCTTTTGATTTTAATACTTGTATTTTTTGTTTTAACACTGGATTCGTGAAAACCTAACAAATTAACAAAACCTCACATTTTTTATAGAATGAAAAAGTAAAAGTCGAACTGTTATTTTTTACACAAAAAGGGAGCATTTTTAATTGTTTTTTGATAAAGGAGGCAAAAAACGAGGTGAAAAGGCAACTGTTCCTCAAAATGTGCAAGAAAACTCCTTCTTGCAAAATTCTCTTATATGGCTATAAGTCATTCTCAGTAGATTTGCAAAAAACAAAGCTCAAATAAGACAATTTTTAAGGACTACAAGGCAAACTTGAAAGATGTAAAAAAAAAACGGATTTTGGTGAATACTCATTCATAGAAGTCATTTTCAACTGTTAGGTAAAAACCAAGATCTGCGAAAAGTGAAACGGATTTTGGTGAATACTCATTTGTAGAACTTCAAGTCATTTTCAGCAGTTAGGTAAAACCAAGATCTGTGAAAAGTAATTTATAGGACTATAAATCAATTTTGACATTAACAATAAAACCGTTAGCAAAAAATATATGTTATTTAAAATAAGAATACAATTTTTTTTTTTTGTCGGGGAGACATCTTCAAATTCTTAGTCAAACATGAGTTTAAAATAAAAATAAAAAATGATAAAAAAAATAAAATAAACAGAAAGATAATATGTTCGCTCGGGTATGGGAGAATATGTTTGATAACATGTTTGAGCGTTCAAAAAACCCCAGAATACGATCATCGTGCTATGCATCTTATAGGAATATAAATTTATAAACATGATTTTTTGAGATAACAAAAAAATAAGATATTTCAGTTCTTGAACATACTCTGCTTCACCAAGTAGTGATTTTTTGTGGAAAACCCTGCTTTTTTCCTCGCCACTTCCAGTGGTTCTCAAAAAGTAATTTTCTATTTTTTTTTTTTGCGGTTGTTTTACTTCATGTAGAATTTTGTTCTTACAGGAGGCCTGAAAAACGTACTATCATAATCTTTAATACATTTCGTGCAAACCTAACAATTTGTTTTGTTAGGTTTTCACGAATTCTATGTTTTTTTTTGTTTTTTTTTTAATCCCAAGAAGTATCAAAATCCAAAACAGAAAATATGGGGATGTAGGGAATTTCAAACCCTACTACCTCATATTTTTTAATTTGTTTTTTGCTGATTATTCT